AAAAACCCTCAGATAATGTGATCTGTTACCTAAAAGAAAAGAAAAACAACAAACAAAGCCCAAAGTTACTAGAAGGGAGGAAATAAAGTTCCAGGTGGAAATAAATGAAACAGAGACTAAAAAGCCAACAGAAAAAGATCAATAAAACCAAGATTAAAAAATTGATAAATCTTAGCCAGCCTCATCAAGAAAAAAAGACGGAAAGGACCCAAGTGAATACAATCAGAGATGAAAGAGAAGAAGAACTGATACCACAGAAATACCAAGGATTATAATAGACTGCTATGAAAAATTATATGCCAACAAACTAGACAATCTAGAATAAGTGGGTACATTTCTAGAAACATACAACCTTCTAAGACTGACACGAAGAAATAGAAAATTTGAACAGATTGATTGCTAGTAACAAAATTCAATGAAAAATCAAGACTACCAATAAACAAAAGTCCAGGACCAGTGGGCTTCACAGGTGAATCCTACCAAACATTTAAAGAAGAGTTAATACCTATCCTTCTCAAACTATTCCATAAAATAGAAGAGGAAGGAAATCTTCCAAATTCATTATAAGAGGCCAGCATTACTCTGATATCAAAACCAGACAAAAACACTCTAAAAAAACATTATAGGCCAATATTCTTGATAAATATAAATGCAAATATCCCCAACAAAATACCAGCCAATCAAACTCAATAATATATTAAAAGGATCAAATGCCACAGTCAAGTTGGATTTATTCCAGGGATGTGGAGACTATTCAATAATAGCAAATCAATCAGCATGACACACCCCATTAACAAAATGAAGGATAAAGATAAAAGCAAAAAAGCATTTGACAAAATACGACAACAACTTATGATAGAAACTCTCAACCAAGAGAGGTTAGAGAGAACATAACTCAACATAATAAGGCCACATATGAAAAACCCACAGTAATATAATACTCAGTGGTGAAAAACAATGTTCTTCCTCTAAAATTAGGAACACGACAAGGATGACTAATAAATGAATTCAGTAAAGTTGCAGGATACAAAATTGTTATACAGAAATCTGTTGTATTTCTATATACCAACAATGAAGCAGGAGAAAGATAAATTTAAAAAACAATCCCATTTACAACTGCATCAAAAAGAATAGAGTACCTAGCTAGGCATAACCTTAACCAAGGAGGTGAAAGACTTGTACTCTGAAAACTGTAAGACACTGACAAAAGAAACTGAAGACAACACAAATAGAAAAATGTACTATGCAAACAGATTGGAAGAATTAATATTGTTGAAATGTCCATACTATCCAAAGCAACCTACAGATTTAATGCAATTCCCACCAAAATACCAATAGTATTTTTCACTGAAATAGAACAAATAAGTCTAAAATTTGCATTGAACCACAAAAGACTCCAAATAGCTAAAGGAATCTTGAGAAGAATAAAGGTGAAAGTATCACAATCCCCCATTTGAAGCTAAGCACAAAGCTATAGTAATCAAAACAGTATTGTACTGGTATAAAAATAGACATATAGAATGAAACAGAGAGAGAGACCCCAGAAATAAATCCATGTTTATATGATCAATTCATCTGCAACAAAGTAGGCAAGAAAATACAATGGGAAAAGACAGTCTCTTCAATGAATGGTGCTAGACCATGTAAAAGAATTAAACTGAACTACTTTCTTCTACCACTGCAAAAATAAACTCAAAATGGATTAAAGAGCCAACTCTAAGACCCAAATCCATGAAACTCCTATAAGAAGACAGAGTAATCTCTTAAACATCAGCTATATCAATGTTTTTCTACATATGTTTCCTCAGGCAAGCAAAACAAGAACAAAAATAAACTACCGATACTACATTAACCTAAAAAGCTTTTACACAGTGAAGGAAACCATCAACAAAATGGAAACCATCAACAAAACCAATCTACTGAATGGGAGGAGATATTTCCAAATCATATATCTGATAGGAGGTTAATATCCAAAATATTTAAAGATCTCATACAATTCAACACCAAAAAATATTAATAATCCAATTTAAAAATGGGCAGAACTGCTGAGGATTTACCCCAAAGATACAGATGCAGTGAAACGGCAGGACACCTGCACCCCGATGTTCACAGCAGCAATGTCCACAATAGCCAAACTGTGGAAGGAGCATCGGTGTCCATCAAAAGATGAATGGATAAAGAAGCTGTGGTCTATGTATACAATGGAATATTCCTCAGCCATTAGAAACAACAAATACCCACCATTTGCTTCAACGTAGATGGAAATGGAGGATATTATGCTGAGTAAAGTAAGTCAATTGGAGAAGGACAAACATTATATGGTCTCATTCATTAGGAGAATATAAAAAATAGTGAAAGGGAATAAAGAGGAAAGCAGAGAAAATGAGTGGGAAATATCAGTGAGGGTGACAAACCATGAGAGACTCCTAACTCTGGGAAATGAACAAGGGGTGGTGGAAAGGGGGGGGCTGGGGGACTGGGTGATGGGCACTGAGGGGGGCACTTGATGGGATGAGCACTGGGTGTTACACTATATGTTGGCAAATTGAACTCCAATAAAATATTTTTTTAAATAAATAAAATAAAGATGGGCAGAGGTTCTGAATAGACATTTCTCTGAAAAACACATATAGATGGCAAACAGATACGTGAAAAGATATTCAGTATCAATCATCAGGGAAACACAAACCAAAATCACAGTGAGATATCACCTCATACTAGTCAAAAATGTCCAGAATAAAAAAAAAGTATATCAAGTGCTGAGGAAAATATAAAGGAAAAGGACCCCTCATGCACTACTGGTGGGAATGCAAACTGGTGTAGTCACTATGGAAAACAGTATGGAGGTCACTCAAAAGGTTAAAATTTTTAGAAATACCATACAAACTGGTAATTCCAGCACTGCGTATTCATTCCAAGAAAACAAAAACACTAATTTGAAGATATATGCACCCCGATGTGTACTGCAGCATTATTTACAGTAGCAAGATATGGAACTTATCCATCATTAGATGAATAGATAAGATGCATTAAGGAACTGATTATTACTCAGCCATTAGGGACGAGATCTCGCCATTTGTGACAACGTAGATAGGTCTAGAGAGTATTATTGTTAAGTGAAATAAGTCAGGCAGAGAAAGACAAATACCATGATTTCACTTATATGTGGAGTCTAAAAAGCAAAAGAAATGAACAGAAAAACAAAAATTCATAGAGAGAATTGGTGGTTGCCAGAGGAGATGGAATGGGGAGGATGGATGAAATAGGTGAAGGGGATTAAGAGGTATAAACTTCCAGTAATAAAATGAATAAATCACTGAGATAAAAAGTACAGCATATGGAATACAATATTGTAATAACTCTGTATGGTGACAGATGGTAACTACACTAATCATGGTGAGCACCTCATGATGCACAGAACTGTTAAGTCATGTATTACACACCTGAAACTAATATAACATTGTGTGCCAACTATACTTCAGTAAAAAAGTGAAATTAAATGAAAAAAATTTTAAAGTTCATGCACACTTCAGCTGAAATATCCTCTTTTGGGAATCTATTCCCAAAAATAAATGCATCAATACATAAAGATAACTTACTTGGACAAGGCTTCAATTGAGGAAAAAAACAAGGTTTCCATTGTATTTGAAGCTGATTTTATAGGAATCATTTCATTTTATTGGTCAACATTATAACAGTTTTTGAGGAAAGAGTGGATTAATACAAAGGGAATGCATAATCAAAAATGTATTCTCAACCTAGATAACCCAGATTAGTGAAAAAGTCACATAAAAAGTACAGACTAGATAATTATTACCCCAAATACTTGAATAAGCTTACGAGTGTCCAATAAAAATACCAGTTATTGTGATTAAATAGGAAGAGCTTTTAGAAAGCCTGACACTATTTCCATTCTACTCCTAACAAATCTTTCAAACCATTACCTCTTCCTAAAAGTCATAGCACAAAGACCACTTAAATCACTTTTGATGAGTAGAGTTAGACGGGCAGCCAGGGTGGCTCAGCGGTTTAGCGCCTGCCTTCAGCCCAGGACTTGATCCTGGAGTCCCGGGATCGAGTTCCACATTGGGCTCCCTGCATGGAGCCTGCTTCTCCCTCTGCCTGTGTCTCTGCCTCTCTCTGTGTCTCTCATAAATAAATAAAATCTTAAAAAAAAAACAAACCTGTATATCACTGCTCCTTATCTTTAAAAAAAAAAAAAAAACAAAAAAAAAAACGAGAAATGCAGAGTTCTACAATACTTACAGAGAATTGTATTGTGGAGGAAAAAAAGAGTATCTATTAATAGGTGAATGACAGAATAAATGGTGGTACACTCATAGTATGGCATATTAGGTACCATTAAAAACAATAATTACATATATGCAATTTGACTTGAAAGGATTTCCCTCATTTAGCATTCTCTAAGAATAGGTAAGATGTAGAAGACTGCAGACAATATGATCCCATTTTAGTAAATAATAATGTGGAAAAAATACCTAATTGTTAATACTGGTATCTTGAAGAGGTAGGGCTCCCAGTTAAAATTTAAAAATAGAAAAGATCTATTTTAGAAGAATTCTCAGAATAAATATAAGAAATGCTGAGTAATCACATATATGCAATCAGAAGAACATTTTTGTTTTGGGGGAAATAAAGGTGGGGACCTGGAAAACACTGCAAAAAGCTTTGAAATTTAAAAAATACATGGTACTATAGGTAAAAATGTAAATTCTGCATAATTACTATATTTTAATAGTCAAAAACAAAGGGGAGTATGTAGTCATTAATGTACAGATGGTAACTACACCATCTATATTGTACACCTGAAACTAATATAACACTGTATGTTAATTATATTTCAATTAAAGAATTCAAAAATTTAAAATAAGAGATAATTACATATATAAGTAACGCTCTGCCAACACCAAAGAACAAAACATCTTATGTAACTTATCTTATGTAAACTTAAAGCACAGATATTACAGACACACACATACCTGGATGATTCAGCAGAGTATCAAGTTCTTCTTTGGCCACAACCATTCTTAATCTATCACTACTATCAATGACAAAAATAATGGCTTGTCCTTCTCTGTATAAGGAATGAGAAAATGAGAGATAAATTCATACATTTTTCCATGTTTAGTATTCATCTGTATTTCCTAAAGTGTATATTATCTCTTCATTTCATATTAGTTTATATGAGTAATTGATATATTACCATTAGTCATATTTCATGTAAAATAATTTTTCTCAGTTGATAATATAGTAATTGACTTATTTCATCATTAATGACTTATTTCATAATTTTTTTAAAATTATGAGTAAAACCATAATCCTATTATACAATCATTATTAATATTTTGGAATAAATCAATTTTGACATATATATTCATATATATTCATATAGGAGTACTTACCATAATCCTATTATACAATAACTATTAATATTTTGGAGTAAATCAATTTTGACATATATATTCATATGAGTACTTACATTTGTATTTAAATAGGATCTTGCTGTTTTACACCCTGCCTTTCTGATATATATACATTTCCTTGATCATTTTCTGCAGAATAGATTGAACTACTTTTATACGAAACATTAAAGCTCTACATCAGTGTTCCCCAAATATTGTTTTTTTTACCATAACCATAGTGAGAAATACTATTTTACATTAAGATGCAGTAGACACACAAGTATACGTTAACTGTATTCGAAATAAGTTTCTGCAAATAATAGTTACAATTAGCTTTTATTTTATTCTATTTGATTTTTTTAAAGCTGATAACCAGCCACTGAATTGGCTTAAATACTCACTTAGAGATCACAGTGGCACTTAAAAAAAATCAGATTTTCTCTGAACTTTTCTTTTAATGATTATAAAGTATTCCATTGCATGGATATGCATGTCATCAAATACTATAGCCTTAAGAGATTTTTAATCTTCACTATTGTAAAAAACTTTGGAACAAGCATCCTCCTAAATACATTTTAAAAATTTTCTGATGCCCCAAGACTTGTTCTTAGGAATAGAATTTCTAGGAATACATACAAAATTTAAAGTTTTAGATAAACATTGACAAACTGTATTCCAGAAATGCTTTATCAATTTATACTACACTATAAGCACTTTTCCCACCCGCTCTTCAGCAGGACTCTTAACATTTTTTCCACCTTTGCCACTCCAACAGCATATTATTTTACACTGTATTTCATTAATTGTTAGTAAAGTTCAATATCTTTTCATATATTTATTGGACATTTCACCTTATTTTCGGGAATCACTTATTCCAGTCATAAATTAAGATTTTAGAATTTCAATATCATTAGTAATCACATGACTATAAAAATAAAACAACTTTTTAGTACTGTTTCCTTCTATCATTTAAAAAAAAGAAATGAACATAGATTATCACCATACATTACTAGTAGCCATAGAAAGTGATCTGATTGGAAATATCTACCAACAGTTTTAAAAATGTTCAATCTCTTTGAGCCAGTAATTTTATTTCTGGAATTATTCTAAGAAAGCATGAACTATAACAAAGATTCAAAGATTTATGCAGCAAGATGTGTTAACTGAAGGAATTTATAATCTTCAAAAACTGAAAATAGCCTTTTTGTCCAAAAATAGAATGATTAAAAAATAGGCACAGGCATATGAAAAAATAATAAGCAGTCATTAGTTATATTCTCTGTATGTTTTCCTAATTTACTCTTATCATAGTATGTTAACTGAAAAAGCAGGATATGAAACTATATATGGTACATAATTTAGAAGACACCTTTCTCAATTATGTAACATGTATATTTTATATTTCAAAAAAGAAACATAACTCCTTATATTTTATACTTTACTACTTTTTCGTATCATAAAGATAATATGCAATAATCGCATAATAGTCAACATTATAGAATCATATCCAATGCAAAGTAAACTTCTCTTATAATCTTATTGTTCCAAAAACAAATGCTACTAATGGTTTGGTGCACATTCCACTAAATTTTTTTCTTCTCTGTATATACTAAGTACATATTTGTGTTAAGAGTAGTATTCTTTTTATAATTGAGATATGTTATTGTAAACAGTGTTCAACACACATTCTTCTATGTATATCTTTGCCCATTAGTGCTAGTCATAGGATGCTTTTCAAGAAGCAAAATGACGGCTAGAGAGCATGAACATTTTTCATTTTAAAATAGTGGTAAATTTCCCTAAGATGTTATATATATTCTCACCATAAGAGTGACTTATCTTGCCAATAGCACACTTGATCTTTTTAGCCTCTTTCAGTCTAATGCATTAAAATGCACCTGTTCTTTCATAATTAGAAAAATATAGATACAGGATACAAATTTACTATGATTGTAGACTTCTCCATTGTAACTTTATTCACTCTTCAACCTGCAATTTAACTATAGTTTTCCTACATAACTTTTTCCAAAAAGATTTTGAAGAAAAAAGATTTAAAATCAGAGATGTTTCCTTTTTTTAAAGTGCTATTTTCTATACATTTTTGTTATCTGTAATTAAAGTAAATGTCAGTTTATTTATTTTATTTTTTTAGAGTTTTAAATTTATTTGTTCATGAAAGACAGAGAGAGAGAGAGGCAGGGACACAGGCAGAGAGAGAAGCAGGCTCCATGCAGGGAGCCTGATGTGAGACTCGATCCCGGATCCTGGGATCACACCCTGAGCCAAAGGCAGACGCCCAACCGCTGAGCCACAGGCGTCCCAAAATAAATGTCATTTTAAAAAAAGTAGCTAAAATAAATGCATTTAAAAAAAAGAATTATCAACTAGAGGAAAAAAATAAAAATTCTATACCGAAAACTCACATTTCCTTAAAAACAAAAACAAAAACAAAAACTTCCCATTTCCCCAGAGAATTTAATGCAAGCCCATAAACATGCCACTTTTCCTTTACCAAACTGACTCTCTTTTTTCTGTACCTCAGAGGTCCTCTGGATTTATACGATTTAAATAGGACTTCAGTCTATTAAAACACTCATTGAAAAAAATATCTGAAAAAAATCTCCTTTGGCTCATATCTAAGGAATACAATGTTTGTTTCCACATTAGCAGGAAACAGTTATTCAATAAAAATTAAAATCTGATCTGGCAGTCACCACACTGCCATTCAAGGTGGGATTTCATAATGACAAAAGGGCATTTTGTCAAGGGATACTCCTAAGTTTCAGACTCCAAAAGTAAGTTACATTGCTTTTATATGATGGAGTCCTAGTAATATTAAAAGTTAATGAATTCATTTTAATTACAGATGCAAACCTTGAGAGGGTATAATAATTTGGGTTCTAGTAACTTGACAGTTCTTACTCTGAAGTAATTAGTGAGCACTTTTATTTGCATATGCTGAAAAATATCTTGTTTAGAATTGCTTGTAGAACAAATGGATCAACTGTTAGTACTGTTATTTTAACTAAATTTATTCAATAAATATTTACTGATCTATATGTCTAGCATTGTACTTGGTCTTGAAGATATAATCTAAGAAATAATCTCTGCTCTTGAAGAATTCACACCCTTATTAGGCAGGCAGCTATGGTACATGACTTTAAGACATAAGAAGTATGGTCAAGTACTATGTGAATACTGAGGACAAAACACCTGGGTAAAATGGTGAAATTTCACAGAGGAGGTGACTTTTGAGTTAATCTTAAAGCATGACTATATTAACCTTAAACTGCAACAAAACAGAACAGAGCATTAAAAACAAACAAAAGCATATGCAAAGATACAAGGTCATAAACGGCCTGAAGCATTTAAGAAATAATATGAAGTATGATTATACTTTTTTAAAATTAGGAAATGAGCTTAAATGATATAAAAAATAAGTATTACAACCTAGCACATGTAATCCTTTGGATTTATTTGTTAATCATTATTGCTTTTAAAATATAATCCTCTAGTTAACCAACATTTATAAACATACTTACTTATAATAGTGTTCCCAGAGATTTCTGTATCTTCCTTGACCTGACATGTCAAACACTGTAAAAGACAAACTACAGAAAGAAAAAAAAAACACAAAACAAAACAAACTATGACTACATTATAATCTACTAACTTAAGGTGTTACTTTTACTTAAAATTTTAAATTGTTTTCAGAGAAACCACCCTTGAATATATAATATTCAACTTGAGCCAATTTTTCAAGTACAAGTCCCATAAAATAAATTTTTGGAATATAAATATGATTTTGTAATGAATAACATATATAAAAAGATGTTTTCCTTGCTAGTGATATTTATAAAAATTTGTCTAACCTCTAAATTCTGAAAAATAATCCAAAGGTAGTGGTACAAATATTTTAACATCTATGGACGTCTGAAACAACAAATTACTTTTTCTAAGAGTAGAAGGAATAACTAGGTAGATCTAATATTATCATCATCTTTCGCCCACAATTTCTTAGTCACAAGTGTAATAAAGTGAATTACCTGGAGGATTTGAATTTCTCAATGCTGAATCCTATGGTTGGAACTATATCTTGTGATTGAGCCTTTAAGAGAAAAGTTACACTGAGAATTTTGCAATTACCAAAGATGAATTTTTCCTCATGTTAAAAAAAAAGCATCCAAATTGCCATTCTGAAATTTGTCACCAAAGGGATGACAGAATTAAACAAAATTATAATTTCTGCAGTGAGATCACTGGATGTGAATTCTTCATGGAACTCTAAGGTTTACTAATTATGGCTCTGTATGATGTATATGTCGTAATTCACATTTTGTGGCTTGCTGCAAGTTACCACAACCTTGAAGTGGTGTGATGAGTCACTCGGAGTTCACACGCAGGACTTCACACTATGCACTGAGTTTACATATGCTACTGGGGACTGTTCTCATGTCTTGATGGAGAATATATATGGCCCCTGCTTTCAAGGAGCTTCGTATCTAGTGAAAGTAAACAGCAATAATCAAGTAAACTGCAAATGAACATGGTTTCAGAAAGTGATAAGTACAGTGAAAGGTGATTTGGGGATGGGAGGCCATGGAGGAGGAGGGTTGGTATGGGCCATGGAAGAAAGATGCTGCAAAAAAGCCTCTCTGAGAAGTTGACATCTGATGCAAGAGTGAATATCAAAAAGGAGAAATACCACGAAAAGATGTTGGCAAAGAACATTCTAGTCACAGGAATTAGCCAGTATGACCCCAATGTAAGAAGCAATTTGTCACTCAGGAAAAGTAGAAGGCCTGTGTGTGTACAATGTATCGAGGAGGCAGAGAGCTACATGTAACAAAGAGCAGGAGAGCCTTGAAGGCCTACATGGGGAATTGTGTGTGGGGAGAAGATTACAAGGGGGCAAGAGTACAGCAAGATACCTGTGAGCAAGTCCCAAGGACAATTAAAATGCCTTAAACTGACAAGTATCCAATGTCTCCTAACACTTCCACCATCAAAACTATTCCTTCTTTTGAATAAAAAACATCATCTACTTTCTGATAACCTACAAGTTATTCCTGCCTCCTCCTTTTTTTACATTTTTTTATATAAACATTCTCTAAACTTTATTGCTCCTATCTTACTTAGTTCAGGTCCTTAACATTTCTTGCTTTATTACAAAAGCCTTCTAATTACTCCTAATTGTTAATGTGCTACCTTAGATGAATCACTCAACTTCAAACTTTAGTTTTCTCAAATGTGAAATCTATTATTATCTTTAACTTACAAAGTTATCATGAGAATTAAACGAGTTAATGCATGCAAAATACTCAACACAGTGTCTGGTCCATAGGAGATACTCAACAAATATCCTAAGTATACTTTCACTGATTTCAGTCTCTTTCCAATTTTCTCCATATAGCAAATGTGTAACTTAAAAAACAAAACAAAAATCCCTGAGTTCATCATGTTGCTTTTGTGTGAAAACAAGAGTAGAAAGGAAATTGTCTCACACCATTATGTTCAATTTGATATTCTACTTGTGAAAATTTAAAATTCAAATGAAAAGAAACAAGCTGAAAAGTCTCTGGAGCTTAGTTACCTTAGTAGCAATGTAGTAGTGAAAAGGTCTCCCTAGAGATGCCTGGTTTTGCCTTTCTGAAGTTTGTTTATTTAGTTTTCTTTCCATCCTATGAGCTACCTATATTCTTCCCAAAATATCTTTCTTTTTATGTTACAATTTATTTCCTGCCATTCAGATTCCTGCTTCAGTCCTTAGGGTTTCTACATTGCACAACAAACTTTGAAATAGTCTCTTAATTTTTATTGTCCCAAAATACCCTACTGTTTTGATTTTTTATTTTGATCACAATTGTGATAAAGTCATCAGCTATTGCTATTAGGAAAAAATATGAGTAATAAAAAAGTGAGGAAGTTAAAATGTTTAAAGAAATCTCAGAAAATATACCTCAAAATAGTAGCCCTATCATCACTGAACTGTAATTAGAACATTTGCATAGCCTCTTCATAATCACCCAGCTTCTTCACAAACTGTTTTAACTTGCTGTTTTACTAAAAATAAAATTAATTATCTTTTCTTTCCATGACTTTGTCTTTTTTTTTTTTTTTTTTTTTGAGAGAGAGAGAGAGAGAATGCATGAGCATATACATGTGAGTGGGGAGGAGAAGGAAAGCGAGAATCTCAAGCAGACTCCATGCCCAGGGCAAGCATGGGGCTTGACCTCACAATCCTGAGATCATGACCTGAGCCGAAATCTAGAGTCAGATGCTTAAGTGACTAAGCCTCTCAGGTGCCCCTTTCCCATTCCTTCTAAAGTTCTAATGGAACAATTAGAAAGAAGGAATTCCACAAATTAGTCAGGATAAACCAAGGAATGTGAGCTGGTACTTCTACATTCAAGTGGGATTCATTTTCCTCTAGAGAATTCCAAAAGATGATCTCCAACATTAATCTTCCTCTGCTCTATCTAGGAACAAATACATTTGCTCCCTCTCTAAATTGGTCAGGGAATGGTACAAAGCAAGCAAAGAATGTAGGAATTGTTACCTAAGTGGAACAGCCTATCTAAGATAGCCCAAGGACAGACTAACATAAACAAGAATAGAACAGGATTTCTGAGAGAAGATCCTATTTGGTTAGTTTCAATAAGTCAGCTAAAAATGATATCCTTGATATACCATCAATCATCATTCCCTGCCCCAAAATGAAAATTTAAAAAATCACCAACAGTGCATTCATCCCAAAATGTACTTATATACCACGAAATATTATAGGTTTTTAGGATTTAATGTCGAACAATATCAGATCTATGCCCTTAAGGAATTTAAATTTATAATGGGAAAAAATTAATAAATAAGCTACTGATTAAATATGCAGAATAATTTTAGACTATTTTAAATAATATGACTCTGGATGATATGGTAGTACAACAGCATTCATGTTGGGAAAGGGGGGTAACAGAAATTGGGAAAAAAAGGTACTTACAGAGTGTATCTCTAAGAAAATACAGTTAAGACCAGATTCTTAAGCGATCAGATTAAAACGCCTTCCCATCCTCACTCATCAGTGTAGAAAACATCAGCAACCTCAATACATTGACAATAGACAATAAACAAGTGTTAGGATAGTGTAAAGCAAGTTTGGGACCAGGAAGTATCTAGTGATCTAGAACTGATTTTTATTCACAGAAAATAAGACATAAGAGACATAAAATGGACTTATGTTTTTTTGCATTGTAGATTTCTATAATTCACTTAATTTACTAAAAATAATGTTACTAATAGTAGATGTAAGCTCACAAGTTCAGATACATGCAGGAAACAACTGTTATAGCTGTCCTGTGTAACAGAGGTTTAAGGGTCTTTAAGAAATTCTATTTCAAGTGGTATTTTGGCTACTAGTCCCAAATTTAAAAAGAAAAAAGAAAAAAAGAAAAAAAAAAAAGAAAGGCAAAGAAAGGCAAAGCAACTTACTGTGCTCTCAGGATCTAGAGGTCAATTGTTCTGTGGAGACAGGATAGTTGCCTAAAGATTAAGTCTCAGGAAGTCGTGTCAGAAAGTAGGTGATCCCCTTAAAATAGACCTATATCAAGTCTAGGCTAGTTCCACAATTCACCAGAGGTTAACAGAGAGACAGGGATGTTGGAAGGCAATGGAAGGTTAATTTAAAAAAACTTTAGTTATTGGCTGTGTACCCAGGTTTTCCTGGGGGCTTTCCCTGACTAATATGGTATGTTAGACAGGGTTAATAGGTCACAAGATCACTCTGAAAGGGGGTTATTAGAGTATTTTAAGATCACAGACTAAGCACATGCTGTCTCCTTCTCTTTCCGCCCCAAATCCCTAGAAATGACAAAAGAAGTTATGAAAAAAAGAAATCTGTAAGTAGGTTAAAAAATAAGGTGTCTTCAAAAGTACATCCTCCTACAGGGAAGAAAGCTATTTCCATCCATATCAAAGATTATTCCTATGGTGATAACCAGGTCTTGGAAAAGATCACTATACTGTTGGGGATGATGGAAGAAGAGACTGTAATTTCTATTTTGTTTCTTGGCTGTTATTTCTGCCAATTTGAGAATAGGAAACACTGGGGGACTGGTCCATTTTGTGGCTACTTTTTGTTAAGAGAGGAAGAGGTGGGGGAAGGGCATCACAGACCATGACATGGGACCATGACTGAGATCAATATCTAAGATGAAATCAAGAGTTGGATGGATGCTTAACCAACTAAGCATGGGGCACTTGTTTTGTGACTATTAATGGTGGCTCTGACTTCAATCATTTTGTACTTATTTGAGGCTAGTTTTTTTTATTTAAGATTTTATTCATTCATTCATTCATTCATTTATGAGAAAGAGTGTGTATTGAGGGAGAGGGAGAAAGAGAGGGAGAGAATCTGGATCAGGCTCCACACTGAGGATGACCCTGAAATCATGACCTGAGTCGAAATCAAGCATCGAGACACTTAATCAACAGCCTCCCCTGGCAGCTCAAAACTAGTTAAACCAAAAAATTTTTACTTTTGAGGCAATTCTTTGAAGTAGAGAAAAATGTAAACACCTCTGTCACAACAAGCCCTTACCTAAAAAGAACCTTCCTTATGATCTTGCTCACTTACTGCTGGTAGCTTTACCTATGGAAATTCAGGTCACTAGTCAGAGTTTCTTTCTTTTTCTTTTTTTTTTTTTTTTTAAGATTTTATTTATTTACTCATGAGAGACACAGAGATAGAGGCAGAGACATAGGCAGAGGGAGAAGCAGGCTCCATGCAGGAAGCCCGATGCGGGACTCAATCCTGGGACTCCAGGATCATGCCCTGGACTAAAGGCAAGCGCTCAACCACTGAGCCACCCAGGTGTCCCAGTCACTGAGTTTCTTAAACATTAGCCTAGACTCATCTGCTGACAGCTGATCCACAGTACTGATTATAGATGCAGGCACAATTGAGTTTGGTTCTACTTTTAACATATACTCACTGTTCTCTAAGTTCAATTCTGGACCCCGTCCAACTGGGTAGGATGCTTTATCTTTCTCTTAAGGACTGATAAAGAAATTTCTTATGATCACCTAGATCAGGAGACAGATTCTAAGCGGGATTTTTAGCCTAGTCTTTTTCCTTATTGGGGAATTCCTATCTTCTTTTTCTCTATCTTGATATACAGAAAACTTCATTAAATGATACTCCATATTTCTCTATCTCCCCTCCTCCAATTTATTCCTTTCCATGGGTAAAGAATTATTCCTTTGTCTGTTCAGTTTGTGAAATGGAAGTGAGCTTTCTTGGTTCTGCCTCTCTCAACTCTTTCTCTCCTTTCAGTGCCACATGCTTATTGAAATCATGCAATCTCGGGATCCCTGGGTGGCGCAGCAGTTTGGCACCTGCCTTTGGCCCAGGGCACAATCTTGGAGACCCGGGATCAAATCCCACATCAGGCTCCCGGTGCATGGAGCCTGCTTCTCCCTCTGCCTGTGTCTCTGCCCCTCTCTCTCTCTCTCTGTATCACTATCATAAATAAATAAAAAAAAAGATTAAAAAAAATTAAAAAAAAAAAAAAAGAAATCATGCAATCTCATCTGACCTTAGCAATGCAATAAACCTGGAAGAGTAGTATCTTTCCCCAAGGAAGAAACCCCAAAATTTTGGGAGGTCAATCTCAATACAATAGAGTGTTAGCAACTCCTCTGAACAGACCTAAGTCTTGCCCTCCAAAATCAATATTTTAAATAAAGCTCTTATTTTTGATCTCTGCCCGACTTCAGCATGTATACCTAGCTGACTCCCAACTCAGCTGGGGAACTCCTTAGAACACCTAAATTGCCTTCCAAATCCATCTTGGGCTTCTAATCCTGGCTGCCTCACACTAATTCCCAACTGAAAATACAGCAGCAGTTAGTTGTTCTTATTTGGTAAACTCATCCATGTAGAAGGGAATAATGGCAAGAAAAAAAATAATGGGGTTTTTGCAATTTCCAACCCATGTCCAACTAAACCAAAGGTACTGCCTGAGAAAATGGAGTAGTAGGGCTGCTTATTCTGCCCAAACTATAACACTGTTTGCAGGCAACTATCAGATTTAGGAGCAATATTTCCCATTTTCTAGCCATTATGCCATTAAAAATGTCAGCGGCTTATTTTTTGCTCCGTCTATGTTATTTATTCACTCTACATTTTTCATTAATTCACTAATGGTTTTTACCTAAATAAGTGTATTTACAACTGTAAATGTTAGTTGTCTACCCAATATCCATTCTCCTCTTCTTCCATACTTATAGGACCCCTATTATTTTTGGAAGCAGCGGTATGCCTTACTTTAAAAAATATCCAGCTTCATTTACAGATGGGGTAGCCAATGAGATGTAAGTTAGGATCTGCCTTCTACCTTCTAAGCTTCAGCATTAGGCTCTATATGAACTCCTTTGCCCATAGATTCTACCAAATTTCCAGAAAAGGTAGCAGATATTTCCAAGATTACAAGTGGCCAATTCCACATAATACTGAGTTTAACCACATTTTCTTCTTAAATATTATAATTTACTAGAAGAAATATACACTTATTTCCAGGGCATTATTCTGTGTGTTGCCTAGGGTTACACATTAGCTGGTGCTCCTGGGTAAGCTCTTTAAAGAGGGCTTACTTAGCAAGAAGGCCTATTCTTTTACCTTGCTCTTTTCTCCTCTCTGTGACTTAGAATGCAGTTAACCAAGGTGACCAGGCACTGAGAATAGCAGAACAGAAAGATGGAAGATGCCTGCCTGTCTCATGCCTGACCACATAGCTGCCCTACCAGCCCTGGAATACCTCCTCTGGACTTAGATGATGGAAAAAGAAACCTCTATCTTTTCTAGTCCACTGTTATGTGGGTTTTCTTTATATGTAGCAGAACTTAACTTTAACTTACACACCACATGTTAAATGTGCTAGCTTTACATATTTTTTTTTTCAGTTTTTAAAATTATATGTTCATATAGTTAAATGACTCAAAGTCATTCTGCTTATTACTAGTGATATGCATACCACACTCCTGGGAATCTGTCTAATTATCCACTGAACCCATAAAAATGATTCACCATTCCCTTTGTTTGGTTTCTCTTGTGAAGAGGGAACAAAAAAGAAGCCAATGCTACCTAAAAGTAAACTCAGCAAATTTGTGAGGATCTTTTTAGAATAAAACACATCTGGAAAATACTCCAGTTTAAATAATCAAGACTTACATAAAATACACTGTAAATTATGGCTGACTGGCATTTATTACTTAAAGGTACTACAAGCAGGATTTCATAACACAATTATATGAAATGAGGGCAAACAAAAAATTCTTTATATTAAGTTTCTCTAGCAGAAAATACATAAAGCATGTAACAAAGATACTTACATTTGAAGGTTTAAGTTTGTTAATGATTGTCGTTTTCCCGCTATTATCCAGCCCAAGGCACAAAACATGAACCTCCTTCTTCTTCAGGCCAAGCAAGCCTGAAAGTCTGTCTAGCAATCCCATAATGTGATTCAAATATTTACAAACCAGCTGCAAGTCAGAAAGTAAAAGAGACGTATCAATAACAGGCAGCTTAGGTATGGAAAATATGAACCTGTGCATCAAAAACTTTAATAATTTAAAGACACAATGATAAAAACCATGTCAATGCAGCTCTGGATTTAGTAAATAAAATTTAAGCTGATTAGCACAAAGGAGTCTTATCTGAAATGCAGATTGGCAGCTTATAACCCTAGGCAACACACAGAATAATGCCCTGGAAATAAGTGTTTATTTCTTCTAGTAAATTATAATATTTAAGAAGAAAATGTGGTGAAACTCAGTATTATGTGAAATAGGCCACTTGTAATCTTGGAAACATCTGCTGCCTTTTCTGGAAATTTGGTAGAATCTATGGGCAAATGAGTTCATATAGAGCCTAATGCTGAAGCTTAGAAGGTAGGTAGAAGGCAGATCAAAAAAGAGAAAAACAGGTTTCGGCTACATTATTTGAGCCAGTAGCTAAATCTTTCTCTGAAGCCAGCCCCAGTTTTGTATGCATTAATCTGAAGTCATAACAATAAAATTAAATCTTTTTGTTTGATTATATACAGTTTACATTGTATCTCCTATCAAGTGGAAGAATAACAGATATACTTACTTTAATATATAATATATTGCTAGACATATGGCTTGTTCATAACCTGCTATGAATTTTCAAAATGAAACTTTCCAAAGGTGCTCCCCTTGGGTCCATTAATACATTATCTTGGGAGAAGAGAGCTATCCCTGGTGCCAGCCTTCAACTGCTGCAAGGATTGCTATAGCAGTAACTATAATCTGTCTGTGTCCTAAATGTTACCTATTACTCTCCCAACCATCATTTTCAAAGTTCTCTAAATGTTCATCTCATTTAAGTGATTTATTCTCATCTCCATCGAAGGTTCAAAAAGCTTATCATCCCCTCAACTCCTTCGGTATTTTTTAACCCACACTATCCTAGGCAAGGCCATACCCTGAAGGATGTGAGGCTGCAACAATTTAAATGAGAGGTTTCCAAGACAACTGCATCCAAAAGGAGGCTTCACTGATTTTGCTTAGGCCCCTTGAGAGATCGTACTGACAGGAATTTCAAAACCGAATTCCAATGATGTGTAGAAAGAAGCAGAAACAGTGCCTCACCAAAGCATGGGGCCTACAAGAGAGCCACAGTTATCTTATCCAAGGGAGGAGTTTGATCTCAGATCACACCATTTGTGCCACTTTTTTCCTCATTTGGAGATTCAAATCTCACTCCATCCATTCCTTTAAGTCTCAGCTTAAGGAGCATTTGCAGAATCTACTTTAAGTTCGCCTTCTGACATCATGAATCATTCAAAGTCAATTTTCTATCAGTCACTTTGTTATTCATTGTACTAAACATATTAAGACAATTATCTTGTTTTCCATCTTCCATACAATTTTGAACAGATTCAAAAAAAAAAAAGATATGACCACTTCTCACATCATCATGCTCTGGGCATCCACTATAAAGCCTCAACTGTCAAAAACTTGATACTTGAATATTCCTTATCCATAGAACCCTGGATTGTGATTTTCCAACCCTTTTTCATAGATTATCAGAACTAACACTTGCTAATGAAATATTTTGGGATGTACAATGTAGATGTCAGTTGTACATAGATGTCTCTATTTCTTAGCAATCATACGTTTCTGTAAGTTTACTTTTTCCACGTAGGAAAGCAGGAAAGATAATTTACTGACCGTGCCCTATGTGCCCAGTGGGAAATGAAGCTTCCTGTAGCTTGCTATGCCTAAAGGCCATGATTCTCAACTCTGGCTGCACACTGGAGTCAACTACTGAATTCGTATTTCTGACGATGGCATTAGGGTACCAGTATATTAAAAAGCTACACAGAAGGGGCGCCTGGGTGGCTTGTTGAGTTGAGTGTCTGCCTTCGGCCCAGGATGCGACCCCAGGGTCTGGGGATCGAGTCCCACATCGGGCTCCAGGCAGGAGCCTGCTTCTCCCTCTGCCTGTGTCTCTTCCTCTCTGTGTCTCTCAGGAATAAATAAATAAAACATCTAAAAAGCCAAAAAGCCACACAGTGTTTCTGATGTACGGTGACTAGTGAGAACCACCGGCTTTCGGAGTAGAGCCGGAGCTTCCAGGCGTAGCTTTGCAGGCTCCCTCTGTCTGGCTCTGAGGTACCTTTCCAGTTTCTTACCTTACTGCTTTGCCGCGCACCAGCCAACCAAATTCCCTTGGCCGTTATGTGGGAAACCTCTTTGTAAAGGATTACTTGCTGCCAGAAGAGTCTCCAAGTATTAGGATGTTCATCCACGGCGGAGCTTGGAAGGTGGCTAAGTCGCAGACGGGGATGGGGCAGAGAAACACACCACGAATGGTACTTGGTCGACTTTATAAAAAAAAAAAGAAGAAAAAGAAAAGAAAATGTTCCTAGGGCGAATTGAGGCACACTTTCAGCACTCCAAACATTTTTATTCGGCTTTCGGTTTTTGGAGATGGACTTTCTTTCTTTCTTTCTTTTTTTTTTTAGGATTTTATTTATTTATTCCTGAGAGACACGGAGAGACAGAGGCAGAGACCCAGGCCGAGGGAGCGGCCGGCCGGGCGGGCGCCGGGATCCCCTGAGCACCGACGTCAACTGCGTTTCGCACACACCGAAGCGGGCGGTGTCAAAGCCGACCGAGCGCGTCCGCCCAGGCCGTCTCTCTTCTGGGATGCCTGGCCCTGACCGCACACGCCGCCTCAACTTGTCCGCCTTTTACACTTTACAAACAACGGTTCGGAGTGAAAGATCCTAGGAAGCGGCGGCGGGCGCGCCGGGGGGGGTGGGGGGGGTGGGGGTGGGGTGGGGGTGGGGGGGGCGGTACCTGGTCCTCGGAGTCGGCCTGGGCCCGGGCCGCTCGGCCGTCCGTCCCGGGAGAAGTCTCGGGCGCCTCTCGGCCTTCCTCCCTACGCCTCCATCGCACGGAGCCCGGCCCCGGGCACAGCCGCTGCCACAAGCTGAGGCGACGGCACCGCGCGCCTCAGCCGGAGCAGCGGCCCGGCCGGCGCCCGGGTGCGCGGCGTTCCCCTGGCAACGGGACGTGCTTCCGGTTCCGAGGCCACGCCCCCCGGGGTCCCGGGGAGCCGGGCCTGGCGCCCCTGTTTATGGGGCCGAAGGGCCCCGAGAAATGGCAGAGGCGCAGCGACGAGCATTGGAGAAGGCGTGAAGGTCGGGGGCGGGAGGACTGTCGCCGCCCGCGAGGGGCCGCGCGGCCCGGGAGGGCGCCTGACGGCAGCTGTAGGCGTGCGCACAGCCTGCCGGGAAGTGCCTGGCGGCGCGGCCACGGCGCGCTCCTGTCCGCCCGCGTCTTCCCGCCCCGTCGGGCGATGCCGCCGCGGAACCTGCTGTGGCCTCCGTGGCCAGGCGCGCGCCGGGCGTTCTGGGCTCCCGAGGCCTCGGAGCCCGCAGGCGCGCCGCGGAGAGAGCCCCGCGGAGGGGAGGGCGGCGGGGGAGGCAGGACCCGGAGGCCCGACGGGGAGGCCGGACTGAGGGAGGCCGAACGGGGAGGCCGGACGGGGGAGGCCGGACGGGGGAGGCCGGACGGGGAGGCCCGGAAAGTGGAGGCCCGAGGCCTCACCCTGGCTCCTTGGCTGTCCCGCCCCTCGGGATGGGCCAGCTGGCCCCGGAAAGGAAGGGGGCCGCCTCGCGTGGGCCGCCTCTTAAACCTGCCTTGGAATTTCAGTGCCGGGGTTACTCGGTGAGAATATTTAGGTACACGCAGCTCTCCGCCTTGTTAGAGCCGCGCTTCCCAAAGCACCGACCGAGGTCGGGAGTCAGTTTACGGATCCTGCGACCTACCTAGCCTCACCTCCAACCCCCCCACCCCATGAATGGTTCAGCCTCACCTCCCAACCCCCCCCATGAATGGTTCAGCCTCACCTCCAACCCCCCCCACCCCAATGAATGGTTCAGCCTCACCTCCAACCCCCCCCACCCCAATGAATGGTTCAGCCTCACCTCCAACCCCCCCACCCCATGAATGGTTCAGCCTCACCTCCAACCCCCCCCACCCCAATGAATGGTTCAGCCTCACCTCCAACCCCCCCACCCCATGAATGGTTCAGCCTCACCTCCAACCCCCCCACCCCAATGAATGGTTCAGCCTCACCTCCAACCCCCCCACCCCAATGAATGGTTCAGCCTCACCTCCAACCCCCCCCACCCCAATGAATGGTTCAGCCTCACCTCCAACCCCCCCACCCCAATGAATGGTTCAGCCTCACCTCCAACCCCCCCCACCCCAATGAATGGTTCAGCCTCACCTCCAACCCCCCCCCACCCCAATGAATGGTTTAGCCTCACCTCCAACCCCCCCCCACCCCAATGAATGGTTCAGCCTCACCTCCAACCCCCCCCACCCCAATGAATGGTTTGGAGATTGAAGCCCTTCCTCAGACACATTTTCTCTCTAGTTTCCTCTTAGGCCCTGAGTATGGGGCTCTCCCCTCCCCCCCCACTCCTCCCCTACCCTAGTTAGTGTCACCTTTACCCCTCTGCCCCATCTTTGGCCTACTAATTAATCTTACCTATTAAGCAGAGTGGGAGGGTGAAGAGAGACGAGAAAAACTGTATGAAATTCATGATGGGGGTGTTTATGTGAATGACTACGGGGTGCCGTTTTGCTCAATTTCTAAATGCAGATGTGGTTGTTTTACAATGAAAAAATGTGGTTCTGGAGAGTGACTCTTGAAAGCCTAAAACTAACAACAAAAGCCCAATAGTGGTATATTCCAAAATATTCACAGATATCCTTGAAAAACATGGAGTATGGATATCTTCTTCCTAATCGTGTGGCCTTAGGCCATTAACGTTCTTCAGGCTTTAGTGTCCTCACTTTCAAAAATACACTATCTCCTCTGATAGTTTTGAGGATTGAATTGATTTAAAAAAGTATATTGTTTGACACATAGTAGGTGCTCAGTAAATAAGTCCTGTCTTCCTTTGTCCTGAAATTTCTTACAGCAATAGGATTTGATTCAGTTCCTAAATATTCTGGTTCATTAACTTATGACTGTAAATACATTTACAGGGCGGTATTAATTAGGTTTCTTTCCGTCTAAGCGATTCATTTTGATGAGACATAGAAGCTAATTTCCTTATAGCCTGAATATGATTTTTTTTTTCCCTTAGAGTTAAGCAGAAATCTTAGTTTCAGAAAATATTAGTGCACAGACATATTTTTTCCTGTTTGGAGTTGGCATTTTCTGTCCTTAGGTTTAGTTCTGTTTTTGTACAAAACATTTGGTGAAAACTGGAAATATGACGGGGAGACTGGATACCCAACTTTTCAGTAAATTAGGCACATATATAATTGTCTAAAAAACCGCTAAGTACAACATTATTGTAGGTAAGTGTAGTTGATGTGATGGCTTCTCATTAGAGATTAAATAGTGGTTATGAAACTCACAGTGCTCTCAATAACCTGGAAAATGCCAGTGTTGAAAACATGTAGAAGTTTAAAAACATACATATTGCATATGGTTGAATCTGTGTTTTGGTACTTTGCCAAAATCTTCATTTTGGTACATTCGAGTACTGACAGACCCATAAAAATTGTTCCACTGGATTAATAAGGTAGTTTGGTTATCTTCATCTTATTATGAGAGTAAGAAGCTTTAAAAATGGCATGTGATTTTCTCTAGGCTATTTAAGATATCTGTATAAGGGAAGAAAGTTTCAGGTATTTTATAACCAGTTTTAATTCCATACTGGCTTTTGGACTGTAGTAGAATTATTACAAAAGAGTTAAGTGTAAGATATGATGACTACAACACTATTCTGATTAATTGAGGATACTTTTTATGTATTTTCTTACTAGCAACCTTTAAAAAGAATATAGACAATTCCTGATTCCTAATTTATTGCACGTTTTTGGAATGAATGCTGATGGTCTAAGCCATTTGAATAGTTGGACATTATGCATATCTTTTGGTCATCTGCAACTTATGTGTACAGAATTACCTCTGCAATGAACAACTCAACTTACTGAAGCTCACAGAATAGTTTCCCAATATGAAATCACTACAAAAATCCTAATCTCTTTATAGTGATTTATGTGATTTTATGCCTTGATGCTAATGACATTAATTATTTTGAAAAATTACACCTATGATTTTGCATCCAGAATTATGTATCTAAAGAGCATCTAGATTTAACAGACTAAAAAATAAATTATATCAAATATGCCTCAGTTCAACAGTACAAAAAAGTCACAGATTTAACCACCAGAACTGTAACTTTTATTTGCTAATAGATATTTTAATAAACAGGCTTACTCCATCTGTAAGACCCTGATAATGCCTCTTAGGAAATCATAGAAAAATAAAATACAATAATTAGTAATTTGTACTTTGTACAAAAATCTTATTATGTTGCTCAGCAGGTAGTTTTGCTAAACACCATATTCTTTCAGCAAACAGATAGATGACATATGTAATGCAATTAACCACAAACAATCCCTCATTGAGAGCTGAGCATTCTATAACACTATTAACTTGTAAGCATGCCAGCACATGAAAATTTACATGGAACATCATAATACTACAGTAGATTTTTATAAGATGAAAACAATACCACCTTTAAGTAAGTCTGGACTACTTCACTGCTACAGCAAAGTAGACAGTAGGTAGGGTTGCAGTTCAATCGTTAACATCCTTTTACTGTGTTTATCTCTCTACAATCTTGTTATACAACCAGAAAAGAGAACATAGTCTGTGGAAGGAACCTGAGTGGAAGGCATATACTGAAGCTCTAAATAGATACCAAAGAGAAACAGTGATAAAAAAAAAATACAGTGCTGCACTTCCTTATTCTCACAAGCAGATCTTTTCCTCCTTTTGTAAGAGAAGATGGGTACACTGCTAAATCCATAGTTAATGGTAACTAACTTTATGGCAGGTTTCAGAGAGATACATTTTAAAGACCATATTCATACTTATAGGAAGGAGAAATGTTTTCACCTTCAGGTTTTCCTTAGTCAAATATTTTTCTATGAAGGATTAAATGTCTCAACCTAGACAGATGTTATCTAGGTATTTCATGTGAACGTACTATTTAGTATTAAACGTTTTAGGATTTGTGCTACAAAGATTTTTATAACTATTTTGAATGCACTGCAACTGTCGACATCTACCGTTTAATATGTGACATGGCCATTTAAATATTCAGTGTTTAATCAAATACATACTTATATGTACATATACATCTTTATATTTTTGTATATGATAAAACAGCAAAAAATGGAGAGCAATCTTATTCTTTTATTCACAATCTAATTTTACACAAATTTATATTCACCTATAAATTCAACACATTGAATTCCACGCGGTCTATCCAGAAATAAAGATCCAAGCACAACTAAAAGATCACATCCTCCAAAAGGATAGGGAGGTCACAGTGAACAAAACAACTATATTGCCCATGTGTTTCTCCTAAATGACAGATGGTACTGAGGTCTCTCATATGAAAACAAAAGAAAGTAAAAGTATTGCTTTACTAAATGATTAGATCCTGTTTGCCTTTTTTTTTTTTTAATTCCGTTGGGGACTCAAAACCCTCCAAAATACTATTTTGAGAAAACTGCCAGCTTGAGTATATACAATACACATCTTTTAAGATTAAACTAATTTTAATTTTCATAGGGTTTAAATGATAACATAATAGTTACAGAATATTTGTTTACTCTGTTAATGGACAAAAATAAAGAACAAAACATGAGAAGTATCTATGGCATTGAGAAGTCCTCACTTAATCTCTACATTATGGAAAAGAACACTGTTATTAGGGTCATTGGAAAGCACAGAATTGTTTCAGATCCTTCAGACACGATGTCTCAAAAATATCCAGTAAGAATGGCTTTAAAATATTTTACACAATAGGTCTTTTTCAAACCGTGGCATATTACATACACACAAATACCCATGGACCATGTTTATGTATATATGCACGTGTGTGCGTGCATGTGCTTGGTCTGCTTTCC